CAGAGATTTCAGTAGCCGTGGGGCGATCCCCGCTGAAGTCCAAGAGGAACTCGAACGAGCCGACGTTGCCCCTTCCGCTCGCGAAGCGGCCCAGGACGATCGAGCCCCGAGCAGAAGACGCGCAAGCGTCTCTGAAGGCTCGCGAGCTCGGCGAAGCGCGGAAGTGGGGCATGAGGCTCAGAGCGATCGTCGAGCGCTGCGGTGAGCACGCCGCGATCGCTGGAGGGCCGAAACCCGGATCCCCGCTCTCGCAGGAGGAGATGAATGCATTACGTTCGATCGTGTATGAAAGCGGCGGGTTCAGGACGATCCAGCAGTGCGTTCGTCACTGGGAACGCCCTTGAGATATGGGCTAGGTCGCAGAACATAAAGGCCATCCCCCTGACCACGGAGGTGTTGGTGAAGTACCTACTGAACCTGGCCGATCGTGGTTGCGGGCCCACAGTGATCCCCTCCGTTCGGGGGGCTGTGAAGTGGATCTGCAAGAGGATCGGGATGCAGGGGCCGGATCTTCTCGACGCTCGTATTATGGCCCTACAGAAGAGGGTGTACGGCGATCGTGGAAAGGAGACGCGCGAGGCGGTCCCGATCCCTTTGGCACTGGTGGCGGCGCTCGAGCGATTCGTGTGCGCAAGGTTCCGATCGAGCCAGTTCGTGATGGCTTTCTTCGCATGGTGGATCTTGATCATGATCTACTCGTCGCTGCGCTTCGACGATGCTATGCACGTCGTTCCTGAGGCGCTCGCCATGAGGGACGAGGCGCTCTATGGGGTGGTGTGGCAGACGAAGGTCGAGCGACAGAAGAAAGGGACCCACTTCGCGGTAGCCAAGGTCTCGGCCTCGGGCGAAGAGTGGATGGAAGATGGATGGAGCGCGGCCTCGTTCGAGATGGACGATCGGGACTACTTCATGAAGGAGCTCGAGTCGGGAGATCGATCGCGACCTACCAGATCTCGAGGAGCGTGCTGTGGCTCAGGTATGTGCTCACGACGGCGGCTTCGGATGGTTTGAAGAGAGGGCATATCTCCCCGCCGGATCTCAAGCAGTTCTTGCAGCTCATACAGGAGATCACCTGGCACTCGTGCCGTGTGACGCTGCTCGCGGCTGCGGTCCAGGCCCAGGAGCCGGACAAGGAGATCGGGCTCCAGGCTAACTGGAACGACCCCAGCCAGTTGGTCCTGAAGTACGCTCGGAGCCGCAAGGAGATCTCGATCGAGATGGTCAAGACGCTCACGAAGCGGATCTCGTCGGACTGGAAGTCTCCGCCCGAGTTCGGGGCCGAGGACTCCAATCTGGTCGACTTCG